CAGCAACAACAACACCACCAACAACAACACTATCAACAACAACAACACCACCACCAACAACAACAACAGTACCAATAACAACAACTGCAACAACAGTACCACCACCAACAACAACAACACCAGCAACAACAACACCACCAACAACAACACTATCAACAACAACAACACCACCACCAACAACAACAACAGTACCAATAACAACAACTGCAACAACAGTACCACCACCAACAACAACAACACCAGCAACAACAACACCACCAACAACAACACTATCAACAACAACAACAACACCAACAACAACAACAACACCAACAACAACACCACCACCAGCTACAACAACACCTCCACCAACAACAACAAGAACAACAGTACCACCAACAACAACTACAACAACAACACCAGCAACAACAACAACACCAATAACATCACCGCCAATAGCATCACCACCAACAACAACATTGCCACCAACAACAACTACCACTACAGCCCCAACAACAACTGAAGCACCAACACCAACAACAACACCACCAACAACAACTACAACAACTGTACCACCACCAACAACTACAACTACAACAACACCAACAACAACTACAACAACACCAACAACAACTACAACAACACCAACAACAGCACCACCAACAACAACATCTACAACTACAGCTCCAACAACAACTGAAGCACTAACAACTACAACACCACAAACAACAACGACAACTACCGCAGCAACACCACCACCACCACCAACAACAACAACAATACCAACACCACCACCAACATCAACAACACCAACAACAGCACCAACAACAACTACAACAGCACCAACAACAACAACGACTACAACTACAGCTCCAACTACAACTACAGCTCCAACTACAACTACAGCTCCAACAACAACAGAAGCACCAACAACTACAACAACACAAACAACAACGACAACTACAACAACAACAGCACCACCAACAACAACAACAACAACAACGATACCACTGCTAACTACATCAACGATACCACCACCAACAACAACCACAACTACAGCACCACCAACAGCAACAACTACAACAGCTACAACAACGATACCACCATCGACACCGACTACAACAACAATACTACCACCAACAACTATAACTACACCCCCAACAGCAACAACAACAGCACCAACAGCTACAACACCAGAAATAACAACAACAACTGTTACGTCACTAACAACAACAACTGCAACAATAGCACCACCATCGCCAACCACGACAACAATAGCAACAACGGCAACAACAACTACAACACCAACAACAACTACTACAACAGCACTACCATCGCCAACAACAACTACAATACCTTTTCCAACAACTACAACAGCACCACAGACTACAACAACTAGAACAACTACAATGCTACCACCTCCAACAACAACAACAACAACAACAACAACAACAACAGAAACGACACCAGCCCCACCACCCCCAACAACAACAACTACAACACCCCCAACAACAACTACTACAACATTACCACCGACAACAACAACGACAACAACACTACCAACAACAACACCAATAACAGCAACAACAACAACTGCAACTACAACTCCATTGCCAACAACAACAACACCACCAACAACAACAACACCAACAACAACTACGACACCAGCCCCACCACCCCCAACAACAACAACACCTCCAACAACAACTACAACACCTCCAACAACAACTACGACAGCAACTACAACATCATTTCCAACTACGACAACGCTACCACCACCAACGACAATAGCCCCACCGCCCCCAACAAATACTACAACACCTCCTACAACAACAACAACACCACCAACAACAACAACAACAGCAACTACAACACCATTTCCAACAACAACTACACCATCCCCAACAACAACAACTACAACACCCCCAACAACAACAACTACAACACCCCCAACAACAACAACGACAACACCCCCAACAACAACAACAACAACAGTAACTACAACACCATTTCCAACAACAACTACACCACAACCAACAACAACAACAAGAACAACACCACTAACAACAACAACAGCAACAACCCTACCACCAACAACAACTACAACACCATTTCCAACAACGACACCATCAACAACAACAACTACACCAATACCACCACCACCAACAACAACAACACCAACAATAACAACTACACCACCACCGACAACAACTACACTACCAACAACAACTACGACAACAGCCCAATCAACAACAACAACAACAACAACACCTCCAACAACAACAACTACACCACCAACAACAACAACTACACCAGCAACAACAACAACTACACCAACAACAACAACAACTACGACAACAGCACAACCAACAACAACAACTACAACACCATTTCCAACAACAACAACACTACCACCAACAACAACTACAACAACAACACTACCACCAACAACAACTACAACAACACCAACAATACCAACAACCACAACACCACCAGCAACAACAACTACACCACCACCACCAACAACAACAACAACACCATCAACAACAACTACACCTGCAACAACAACAACTACACCACCAACAACAACAACAGCAACACCAACAATACCAACAACCACAACACCACCAGTAACAACAACAACCACAGCAGCACCAACAACAACTACGACAACAACACAACCAACAACAACAACTACTACAACACCATTTCCAACAACAACAACACTACCAACAACAACAACAACAACACCAACAACAACAACAACTACACCAGCAACAACAACAACTACACCACCAACAACAACTACTACGACAACAGCACAACCAACAACAACAACAACAGCTACAACACCATTTCCAACAACAACACTACCAACATCAACAACTACAACACCACCAGAAACAACAACAACCACAGTACCATCAACAACAACAACAACAACAGCAACACCAACAACAACTACAACATCTACCCCAAGCACCACCCCCGTTTATGCAACCACCACGCCTAGCCCCTGTGTCCCTAATCCGTGCTTCAACAGTGCTACGTGTTCCTTTCTCGGTGGAGTAGTTACCTGCACTTGTCTGACTGGATTTTCCGGACCGAAATGCAATGTTGTAAGTATGTGTGTGTGTGTGTGTGTGTGTGTGTGTGTGTGTGTGTGTGTGTGTGTGT